TATAAATCGCCTCTAACAGTTTTATTTGGGTCCTCTGAGTTTGCTCAGGGTGCCCAGCATGCTGAATAAATTTTAAAATTGACAGCGACTCTGTGTCTTTAGGAATAGCTCTGCAAGGGGTCACGAACCCCTCAACACTGCTGCAGGTCTCTCCACCAGCCTGGGCCCTGCCTCAATCCTCGCAGTGAGCCTGGGCTCACCCTGTCTCTGGTCTCACCCACCAGGGATGTTGGGGCTGAGGTTTCCAGGCACCCCTACTCGCCTTTCACCAGGGAGGTAACTGGCCTGGCATTTCTGGGGAGCTACCCTGCCGCAGGTAGCTTCACCAGGCCACCCTTCCCTGGCAGAGTGCAGTTTCACATCATGCCCAGGACCATGGGGTCTCATCATCCTCCCCCAAAGCCCCAGCCCTTACCTCCAAGATGTTCCAGGCAGCAGCTCAGCCAGATATTGCCTCCTTGGCTGGTAGCAGCAGACTGCTGCCCTGCAGTTCAGGAACCCAGCCCTTACATATTCCAGCCGGGCCCTGTTCCCCAATCAGGCAACTCTGCCTGATTACCACCACAGGCAGCTGTGGGCTACCTGGCTGCCGCTCGGTTCCCTGACAGTAACAGAGCACAGGGTGCTCTGTTACACCAACATATATAATTTAATTGTTGGAATAATGGATTGGCATACTGTCATTTCTTCCATTGTTTAATTTCTGTAACCTGCATAGTAAGGGTTTGTCCATTGGGCCAAACATTTGTCCCGTACAGGATATTCTGGTTTGTAACTGGAAACTACTTTACACAAGTATCAAGAAACAACATTAAATATACTACAGGATATTTACCCTCTGCCAATTTTTCCTGATTTCTGTATGGAATTTGCTCTTGACAATAGACAGGAAACACTGTAATTGATAAGACACTTTGGTTCCAGAGTATACAGTTCAGCCAGACACAAGGCAAGGGTCCCACAGGAGAAGGAAGAGAGCTCCTTATTCATAAGTTAAGCTTTCAGTCTTTCAAGGCCATTTATTTTGAAGCGGAAGAGCCTTTCCTTCCACATATTCTACTAATCTGTGCCAGTGTCCATCAGCACCATTGTCTTATCTGTTTATTCATTATATTAATGTTTTTCTTATAATTCTGATCCCCATGTTTTCAGAATGCTTTCAGTCAGATATCTCAGACCTAAGTCACTGAGTTTCAGCACCATAGATGCCCAACTGCATAAAAAGATTGATGAAGCAGGTTATGAAAATGACATTACTTTTACATCTAGATAATAGAAAGGCTATTTTCTAGCACAGGTGAAGACCTAAGGGTGACCTAGCCAGTGGAAGAATTAGCTAATGAATCTGCTTTCTTGTGAAAATATCATTTCATCCCATTGAACAATGTGCTGTTATGTTCACGGCAATAATATGGCTTCTTTTTTTCAGAACTGTTCGACAGCAGAGTCTAAAACCGACTCCAAGATGCACCCATTGTGTCTCTATTTTGTTATGATTGTCTACATTCTGAAATAACAAAGCTACTTACTACTTCAATATTGAATAGCAAAGCCAACTCAGAGTGTTCAGAACAAAAAGAATCAGTCTGCCCTATCTACAATTTCTAAGACTTCCTTTAAAAAAAAAAAAGGACACTTTTAGCATAGTAAGATTTTTTTCTTTGCCCTCTAGCTTCTCAGTCTGTAAGGTGCACCACTTCCTGTTTCAAACTGTCTTCTGCCACTATGACGGCCAGCAAATACTTTTTAATGAAAGCTGAAATGATAAAGCAATCATTTCACTCCAGCATCAGGAGGTTCGAGAAAAGAAAACAGTATATATTGCAAGACTGGACATAAACAGTACAAGAGTTTACAAGACTGAATACATTATCAACAATTAATTCTGCTCCAAGTTCACAAGGCTGACCAAATTTATAAATAAAAGGTAATAAGAAATATGAAAACTTCCATTCTGGTGTATTTTCGATATGCAGATGGCATAATCATTATATTTCTATTTATGATCTCCCTTTTTAAGAATTTCACAAGTTTCTTGAACAGGTGCTTCCATAAGGATCAAATTAATTCATGCAGGGGGTTTCCTGTCAAAACACCTGCTCAAATAAATTCCAGAAGACACTCAAACATTTCCATCAGCATTTAAGGTAATGCCATCATTAACAGCACTATCATCCTCTCTCTTTCTCAGTGAATGATATTCACTATCCATGCAGATACCATTTCACATTAACTCTTTATCAGTACTTAGCCACGAGAAACAAAACAGACAGACAATGCTGTGGAGGAAATAACCAGATAAGGCTGAAATTTAACTGTCACAGGTAATCCAAAGTACTAGCATTTGCAAAAGCTGTGCCACAGAATCATTAGGACCTATCCCGAACATGTTATTTATTAGCAGCAAACTGAGACCTGATATTACAGGGAACATATATTCAGTACTCTCTCAGAGCAAGGTGCCACCTGGGAAATCACCAGCACCTCAGCAGGCATCCTAGCCCAGGATAGACAAAAATTTGTTTTTAACTCATGAGACAATCAGAGAGCTTTATCTTATGTGTAAATATTAAACACAATACAGAAAACTATTACTTACAGTTAGCTAAAGAATTAATTGGTCCAACCTATTTGTTAAATTTGCTTTGTTCTTTGGGAAATCCCAGCTATGACTTTATGATATTTATTTGGTAAAGTTAGTATTTGTTTTACATTTCAATTTTATTCAAACATTCCAGGCCCCAACCAAAAAACATATTTATATCCCCGCATTTTATTTAAAAAAAAAAAAAAAGAAAAAAAAAGAAAAAGAAAATAGAAAGAAACTTTTACTATTGGCACAGCTATGGGTATAAGATTTGGGAAACCATTCTGTTTTCCAGGGAAAGGGACACTGAGGACAAAACTACTTAAAATATTTTAATCAATATGCGAGACAGTGTGGCATTGTGAACAAGTATTGTAAATAAATTCACTCATCAAATAAAGATCATTTTTCTAATCTTCTATTTTCTGCTTTTCATTCAGCTGAAAAATTCAGATTTGCCAGTTTTGTTTTATGATCACCAAAACATGGTAACTTTTGATAAAACAGGAAATCATTTGATGCATTTGGGGGTCAAAAAGAAGCAAAATATCACTCCAGCAAACTGAATGCTTCCTAATAGAGTCACTTCAAAAGAGATGCAGTGTGCAGAGCCATAACTTCTACTGCCTGATTCAGACTGACCCCTGGACTACTAAAGAAAACAAACACAAAACTGATTAAACATTCAAGTTAAAATACAGCTATAGAATTTGTATAGAACTACTGAAAGCTGCAGGATCACTGGAATTTAAGGCAAGTGCAGATCTGAAATAGAAGGCAGGGATAGTTTTGCTGCTTGCAGATGTTCAACCCCCACCCCACCTCCCCCCAAAATGGCACTTTAAACTTGGTACACTCCTGCACCAAGCCCAGCACATGCCGAGAACAGGCATCGCATTAGTTGTACCTGGTTTGCCAGACGTCTGTATAGATCTGATGCTTCAGTGGGGCTTTTTTGGCGCTTCTAATAGCTGATTGACTCAGCTTAGGTGTTTTTTTCAAATCTATATAGATGCTGTGTAGCCAGGTCGAAGTAACCTGCTACTTCTTCAGGTAAAGGGCGTTTTTGTTGTTGTTGTTTTTTGTGGTTTGTTTTTTAATGTCTACAAGCAGCCAAGCTTAATTACACATGCATGTCACTTCTCAGAACAAGAAGGTCACAAGTACCTCCCTTACAGCCTTAGGGAACATTCAGGTTCAAAAAAGGGAAGACAGAAAGAGAGACCTCTGAGAAATGCTATAGTATAAATACAAGCCAGAGGCTTGACTTTGAATGAATGCTTAAGAGAGAGTAAAATGTACAGCTTATTTTAACCAGTAGAAAGGAGGGGGGCAGATGTAAAGGACTGCAAATATATTTCGCACAGCTAGAAAGGAAGAGGGAAGAACAACTAGTAAGTACAATTCCCCAAGAGACAGGTTTACACTGAGTTATATGAAATTAAAAAAGGAAACATTGTTGGCTGAACATCCAGAAAAACTTCCTGACAGTGAGATATAACAGGCTGTGGAATGTCCTCTCAAAAAAAGAACTGATTGACTGGAAAACATACTTGACCACATGTTAGAGGAAGCAATCTGCCTCTGCCATGATGGAGAAAAATTCACCTTATAACACTTTTTCCATTTCTGACGTAAAATTTTATTAAACAGTCCATTTTTATTGCAAGAGCAACTGCATATTAAAAAGTAATTAAAATTAACTATATCTGTGTGTGAACTAATGTATTAATTTGCCCTGGTGTCCAGAGAACTCAATGTAGAGTACCAACACTTCAGCACAGCAAGCTGAATGAATTTGCATGGTTGTATTAAATGTTCATTACTTGAACAGATGTCTTGCTTATCATTCCGCATAGTCCAAAAAGCCACGCTAAAATTCAACTAAAATAACATGGTCCTAATTTTTTTTGCTGAGAGAACCGTAAAACCTTCTTACTGGGGGTGGGGAGAAGGGGAATTAATGATAACTTATCCTAATGAAGAGTTCTAAAACAATACTTAAGACAAACCTTAGGCTAATTCAAATTAATACCCTTTACTAAGCAACAGATACTATAACTGCAATCAGATACTGTAGTCCAAGTCATATGTGAAAAAATGTGTGCTGAGCACAAACAGCCAGCATTTGTTATCTTTCATTATCCTTTAATGCCTCCCGAGTATCTCAAATACATTTCAGATGAGAAAGTAAAAAGATCTGATCACCTCATGTTGCTAGTCATAATCAAACACACCTTGGAAAACCAAGAGCATTTCAAGAATAAAGTTTGTAAAATGATTATCTTCTTCCAATTATAAGTGAAGCCACCCACATGGAGCAAGAACATCTCTACCCATATTAAAAATGTAAATACACTTTAACACCAAGGAAAACAGAGTACAAATTAGCAAAGATCGTTACTGTGTTTACCTTTGTCTTTTCGCCAATAACATTTCTTTCCAGCTCAGCTATCTTCCTGTTTAGATGATCCAATATTTCCTTCTCTTTCAGAAGTTCTGTTGTTTCAGATTTCTGTTCCCCATCCAAAAGGGCACATTCCATATCCAGCTACGAACACAAAACATTTCTCAGAAGCAGTCCAGCTTAAAAAGAAATCTTGAGAAACGATATTTGAGATGATTCAAAGTGTGGTTATTCAGTGTATAGATGCATTTAAAAAAAAGCAACGCTGACAGCATAAGAGCATGGTAAAAGGAGATCACAAATATGTATAAGGAATTTCAACATAAATACTCCAAAAACAAGTTCAAACCAACTTTACTTTGTACGTTAATTTTTTTCATTCATTTTTATTTTCTACTTCCTCTTTTCTCTGCTTCTTTCTGCAACATATTGTACCTACGGTCTGCAGTCTTTGCACTCACCAGTCTTAAAACAGCTGCTTCTTTCCTGTTGTTGATAATTAGAGGCAACATAACCTAAAGACCTATCCAGCTTAGTTTGCAAGTGTGAGATTCCAGAAATCAAGAGAGCTTCACAATCTTGTCAGCATGGGGACAAGGACTTTTAAAGGGAAGTTACCTCACTTCCTTACTCTTTCACAGGCTACATAAGACACCAATGTAATGCTCCCAAATGATATAAGGTACTCAGATGAATCCAGAAACCATTCAATAATTAGGACTAAAGTAATTTCAATTAGGAGTCTAGTAGTCAGAGTTTGTAAAGGTTGACACAATCATGGGAGCCATTCTTCTGCAAATAAAAAAGCCCCTGATTCCCCATAATGCAGAAATACAAATTAACATGATATTGCACTAAATTTTGTCCACAAGACAGTAGTAGTAAAAGATATAAACAAAAATATGCATGCATCACAAATCCCATGCACATTTAGCAAGCAGGACATTTAAAATAAAAACATGTGAAAAGAAACAGGAGATTCTTATCCATTCATACCTCTCTTGAAGATTCATCCATCTGGTCATTTAAATCTTTGATCTTCTGTTCAAGTTCCTCCAAATTATTTAATACTGCTATGCGCTCCTCCTCCAGCTGACCAAGCTCGTGCCCTCTTTGTTCACTGCTTGGGCATTCTGATGTCTGCAATTAGCCATTGTAAGGTGTTTAGTAGCACAATTCTAACACAGCACATGTTTTTCCTCCCTCTCACATTGTGTTGAGCAAATTTGTACACATTGAATCATTAAGAGTTCTGCTTTTATATGTACCATATTTTACATGAACACAAGATGAGGTTTTTCACCCCAGTCAACAAGGGGGAAGAAAAAAGCCTTATCTTAGATCCGAGTACTAGCCCAGAGCAGGTGGCAGCTCAGCCCCAGCTTCAGCCCAGGGGCCAAAAACTAGAGCTAAGCCACTGCCTGCCCCAGGCTAAGGTGGCTCATGTACTATGGGAGGGAGTTCATGGTGGGGGGAATACAGAGGAGACCTTGCAGTGGGGGTGGGTGCATAAGGAGAAACCTGCAGTGTATGGCTTAGGAGAAGAGCAGTGGGGGGACTCAGCAAGGTCCCCCCACTGCCTGTCCCCCTGCTACCACATACAGCTTCAGCTCCAGCCTGGCCCTGACCGGGTGAGCCCTGGAGCTGCCACCACTGCTTCTCCCCGATTGGGCTGGGACAGGGTTGGGGCCACTGCCACTTACTGCTATGGTACTGAAGTCAGACCAGAGCTGCAGCAGAAGATAAGTAGAAGGGGTGGTCTGGGAGGGACAAGTAACAAGGGTTCAGGGACAGGGGGGCAAGAGATGGAGTAGTATGTCAAGGGTGAGCAAGCACTGGGTGTAGGGGGGCAGACACCAGCTACAGGTATCATGGGGGGAGGCAAAGGCATGGGGGAGCAAGGGACAGGGGTCTGGCTCCTCATCCCCACTGCTGCCTTGTCTGCCACAGCAGCGGGGGGATGAATTTAAGACAGCCATCCAATTATTCGATTCAACATATGGAAAATGTTAACAAATGCTCTTCTTGTTAGTTATAACCTTCACAGATAAAACCAAGATAATTTATCATGAGGATGTAAAAAGTCAAATTTCTTTTTGCTGAAGTAAAGCAAATACGGAAAGGTAAATTTATTTTAAAGTATACGTTGAGGCTACATAAACAGAAACCTATAATGTGCACTACAACATAATTAACCAATTATCAAGGTTTTTAAAGATAGAAACATAATCAATTACCATGTTTTTGCCTCATTTATCTACTGGATAATTATGAGAGATCTTGGAAAAAACAACTTTTGCAGCCTTTTTTTGCCCAGGAAATCCTAGTGTAGAAGCAGCCCCTGGTTTTAAATTACTTTTGCATATTATCCTGTTTTCAAAACAAGGATTGACTAAGGCAACAGAGTCAAATTACATTTATAAGGTCATTCATTCATTGTCTCCAGTTGGAATTAGAACCATGTTCTGGCCCTCAGTCATTGGCTTTTAACTGCTAGATCATATGGCCTCCTTCAAAATAAGTAAGGTTCAGTTGCTCACTTACTATTCTGAGAGAAAGTGCTTTTAGCAGCAGAAATCTGACTTCGATATTTTAAAACAATGAGCTATATTTTGTTAATATTCAGATGCCTGTTGCTGCTGTTCTCTGGGGTTAGCAGGGCACCCTTTACAATGAATGAATGGTATTCCTTAATCCCTAGTGCTAGTAATCCTAGCAGGAAAGCTTCTTTTTGTCCGGTATCCTGTTTGGATCATGCTGACATAACATCTTCAATTTCACTTCCCGGCAACGATTAAATATAGGATCTCCCGCTTATGGAAGGAAAGCAACACTCACAAGCATTAAAAAAGTTGCAAGATGACAAAAACTTTCACACAAAATGATTAAACGTAACTGTCAAATAAAAAAGGGAAGAATCAATATGCCAGGGTACAGCTAGAGGAAGTATGTTTCTGGTTAAAATACCTGGAAGCTACAAACTGAAACCTATCATTAAACCAACCAGTGTGAGAAAACTACTGTGAAATTATGATTAAAATGACTGATTAATTCTGTCTTGACATCTTGTGTTATGGGTACCCCTAAAGGGTTAGTGTTAATGGATTAGCTGTTGAGATAACAAAATGATTACTTGATATTGCAATTGGTAATTTATTATTATTTCTGCAATAATCTGGGCACAATCTATTGTAACTGTGTCCGGCCAAAACCACTCTGAAAGGTTCATTGTACAACTACAGTAAAGCCTTTCTTTACTGTAGTTTCTTTGTCCTGGCTATCTGCAGCACAAAAACAAACAGTATACCTACAACAAAGCAAGATCCCAACTATAAAAAGATGGAGGAGGGGAAAATTGTCAGGTCAAATTTTGTCCAAATCTCATAAATGAAAACTTTAGGAAACTTCCAATAGAACACTGTCCTTATAGTTCTAAACTACAAAAATATACCAGAAATTAGACTTTCACTTTTCTACTTAAAAGACATTTCAGAAAAGGTAAAACAAATAAATAGTAAGAAACATGTTAGATTTTTAAAGTTTTCATCATTGGTAAGACCACACAATATTTTTTTAAAAGAACTCTTTCAACTAACAAGAATGCCTATGAAACAAATAGGGAATATTTTAAATTAACTTCTTAAAGCGAAGAGCTGCTAACTGAAAAAAAATCCTTAGCCTGGTTTCTGCTGCATGTGAATAGGCAATTCACCACAACAGGCTCCACAGGAAGCAGCAAGTTGATCTGAAGGGCAGCTGCGTCCAGAAAAAGGAAAGGGAAGGGGGATTGTACAGTCAGCTGAGGGAATTCCTCTCCACCCACTTTACAACTATTCTTGAGATCTGGCTGGTTAGCAGGAGGAAGCCTTAGGAAAGGGGAGGAGAAAATGTCAGTTCTTTGCCTCCTCGCCTGGTCACAGGCTCAAATGCCTGAAATGGTGTGGTGCAACATTTAATTTTCCTTAATTAATTTTCCTCATGAAAACCAAACCAGCCTGTAATGTCTGATATGCTGCTTATTTAAATACTTTGAAATTGTCATTTTAGCATATATCCCTCCCCTCAGAAATATAAAGCCACCCTAGAGTTGTTCATCACTTTTAAAAATATGATTAAAAGATACACTTTTCAGAGGAAACAGGTCATCACAGTTTTAATACATCCTGGACCGCCTCAAATGCACTTTGCTATTATGACTCATATATTTAAGCTATTTTCATTGTGATTCAACTAACTGTACCGAGTTTGTACTTCTGAACAGCATTACCTTTGGTGTGATGCTTAGGTAAGAAGACTCACTGGAATCCTTCAAAAAAGCAGAAGAAACTAAAGGTGGAGTTTTCATATTTTCACCAGTATGTTCATCACCTCTCATACCTCTAGAGGAGAGGAGGGAGCCAGCACTTCGACTGACATTACTCAACTCTGAGAAATCAGAATCGCTTGTTGACAATTTCAAGTGGTTTCTAAATCTCATTTCTGGATTAATTTGAGAATCTTCAAATACAGAATCTTCATCTGACAGCTGAAGTTTTTCAAGTTCTTTGTTAATTTTCTGAACATCAGCAACAGTGGCAGCAGCAGCAGGGTCACTATCAGGTTTGGAGTATTCTGCACACAAACTGAGGATAGTCTCCAGTCGTTGTCGCTCCTTGTTATTCAAAAAAAAAAAAAAAAAAAAAAAAAAAAAAGAAAAAGAAAAAAGAGGGAGGAGTAGTAAGTTTCACAGCAAATTTTAACCAAAGGAAAGATCAACACTATTCAGGTGCAGTATTTTTTTAAATGTACAATCAAGTTACCTTTGTACTTCTAACAGTGATAGTGTAGCATAAAAATTAAAGTTTGTAAGTCAAGTTAAAACTGGAAAATAATTTCTGTATAAATGAGTTCTATGTAAAAGTATAACTGAACCAAATGCAAGCTCTAAAAGAGAAGATAGGTTCTACATGTCTGAAAAAGATAAACCCAACATCTGAATTTCAAGATTCTACCTACATCATAATGGATGATTAGTATTTATTTTCTATTGTATCCCACACATATATGGCCCTGTCCCACAGAAGTTATGCTACAAAACTTATGTCACCCCTTCTTGTACTTTAAACTATGCCTCAGCAATCATTACATTATTTTTCATATTTTACTTTAACTAATTTATACATTAGTTCCAATTTTTAAGATTTCTGATTCCATTAAATTTTTCATCCTTCCCCTATATCACAATTTTCAGTATTATTCTCCATCTTCGGACACCCAACTTTCATGCTTAAGAAGTTTGAAAGGAAAATAAAGTCCTTCTGGTTTTATTGTGCCCAGAACGCAGAATGGGCATTTCTCTTTTCACTAGTTAACTCCTTGGTTATATAATCTCATGAGAAAGTCATTCCATTTTCTAAACTTAATCTTAGTAACTGTGACAGAATTTAAGCTGTCATCCACCATGCAATTATAACCATGTTTTCTGCAGCTCTGTTTTAAAAAATTACTAAGCAGTAAAACTAGTGTTGTTCTGTTGCGCACAATTTCTAGTAAGTCCTTGTTTAGATTAATTCATAATGCTTAACAGATAGTAGTTTAGCTTAAGTTTATTTTCATTTTGTTAAAAAGAAAAAAATAACAAAAAATTGCTTACCATAAGCCTAATTGAAGATATTTGTAAAAAAAAAAAAAAGTGCTTCACTGTAAAAAAAATTCAGGCTTTGTATTAATGATAACACAGGCCAAAGAGTTTCTCTAAATTATTTAATCTTATCATTTCTCTTGGAATAATTTTTGACCATCAGTCATCAGATTAAAAAGCAAAAAAACAACCTCCGCTCAGCCTCCCTCCTGTGAGAACCACAACTGGTTTATTCAGTTTCCACACACTACCTGGCAGCAAACTTGAATTCAGAATTTCCAAGACAGCTAATCACTTTATCTCTGCCTGGCTAGAGACTGTGACAATTGGTAACAAGAAGAAAGTAAAAGTATCAGACTATTCCAGTTTCTCTGATACAAGCCTTTTTAAAGTAAAATAAAACTTATTGTGAATTAACAAGTTCCTCACTTTTAGCAGGATTTAACAAAGAATTATAAGATTGAAAAGAGCCTCAGTTATGAGACAATATATGTACTTATTAAAGCACAGATCTAAGTTTTTCTGTCTCAAGGCATAAACCAACTATTACATGACAAAGGTTAGGCAGAAATTTCCTCCTTGGGAAATGTATTTCCAGTTGATCACTGTGACTTATCTTGGATGTTCCTGTAGTTCCTCTACTATTGGCCACTGTCAGAGCAAAACTATTGACCTAACTGGACAAGTTGCTAGATACAGAACAGAAATTCTTAGCTGATTCAGCAGACTGCTTTTAACCCCCAACCAATGGCATTATCCCAACCCTCTAAAGCCTTGTTTCCCTCCATATAGTCACTCCCAAACTTTCTCATTCCTAAAGCATTTTCCTCTCCTTATAAACGTGTACCATCTGGATATGCAACCCAATTCCTTATAGTACAACACAAGTGCTGCTCCCGAACTCCACTATTTATATGTTTCCTGCTGTTGCAACAGCACCACTCATCCAGCTCTCTGATACTATCATTGTGACAGTAAAAGATGGAAAACACAGTATTGGAATGGAGTGTCCCACCCCTTCAACGACAGGCGTTATTCCTCATTTTCACACCCACATCTACATTCCCGTCAATTAAGGACATACGAGATTTTAAACTGAGACTATACATTGTCTTATCTTCAACAGGCTAAAATATGAAAATCCCTTAAAGCAAGCTCCATTATGGAAAAAGGTAGGAGGAAGATTTATTTTTCTTTTTTTTTTTTTATTGTCCTAGCAAAGCAGAAAGCCCTCTCTACTTTTCTTCCACATTAGTGGAAGAAAAACCTGGCTCACTTCAGGAAGTTCCTGATGAATCTCAGTTTCTCAGAGCACACATTACAGAAATGCCTATGTCTATCACTTCTATTTCAATACGTATTAAGAAGTTTATGCATGGAAAGCTCTCTGTTGCTATTTTGTATACTCTATCCTCATCATTCATGGCAGCCAGTTCCATCACACCTGTATTCAAGAGTTCCAACCATAATTTTTTAAGTGAATAACCAAGAAAATATCCCAGCAACTAAAAATACAAAAACAACTGCATGTACATGAAATACCATCACACTGCAAACTACAAAGAATACAGCATGCTTATTTTCTGGTTAAATAGAAACTATGGCATTATTATTGTTGTTGTTATCATTACTTAGATTTATATGTAAAACTGTACTATCTAATGGGTGCATTAAGCTGAGAATGAAAACTTTTAAGGATTTTTCACTGTATTTCTTCCCTGAAGGCCCCTCTGCTGTTTTTAACAATACAGCCATCTGCAGTGAAAAAGGATAGATAGTACTAGTATGAATAACATACCAGCACATCTACCACTGCTGGCTAGGGGGTACCTACATCAGAGACACTGACAGTTAGAAATTGAACATATACTCAGCTTTGCCACAAAGGCCATGCGTAGATGAAATGAGGGGTATGTGCGCACAACACTTTAAAGCTGGCTAAATGCTTTTGCACTGCTTTAATGGTGTCAGTGTTTGCATGAGTTGGTGGCATATTGCGCATTAATTACAGCCGCTATAGCAAATCAGTGGCATAATGCGCCTTAAATGACTTGGGGCACAACAAACTAAAACTCCTCTGACGAGTTTTAGTTTGCTGCCCCTACAGCCGCGGAGTGAATCACCAGGCTCCGTGCAGCTCAGGGTCTCTGCAGGAAGCCCTGCAGGCAGCCTGGCAGCAGTCCGGGAAGGCTGGCTTTGCCCAAGAAAAGTGGTGAGCCTGGTCCCTGCCCCTCCTTCCCCCCCTCCCCGCAGCCTGCCTGCCTCCTTGAGCTGTGCAGGGGTCTAGTGCTTCCCTTCGCGCCTGCAGTGCCCCCTGGGACTGCCCAAGCCGGATGCCTTCAAGAGGGTGCCACCTTGGGGGGGATGCCGCTGCCATGGAGTGAAGCACCAGCCCCACCCACAGCCCAGGGACCACTCCGCCCACTGGTAGCTGGACCTCCTTTCCCTGTCCCCGGAGAGGCAGGTAAGTCAGTGGATTATGTGCACAACATGGGGGTTTAAAGGGCCCTAAATTGAAGCGGTGTTTTAAAAACCTGCCACTTCAATTTAGGGTCCCCGTTTTGTCTACATATGCCCCTACTCACTGCATGGTCCCTTTTTCTGATATTTAAAAACAAGGATTCAGGTTTTCAAGACATGGCGTGGTGGTGGATTCTGATTTCACGTATGGTATATAAATGCAAGTTAAGTCCATTAAAATGAATTTTTATTCTAGTCCGCACTTTTCCTTTTAATTAGTTACAAGACTGAGCATTGAGCTATGTATATTCCATTAAAATGTTAATTATCTTAGAAAGAAAATAAAGATAACAAGTGGCTGGTATTTAGGCCTTGTGGAAAATACATAAAACCAAAGACCTTGCCGAACTGTCTTGCAAAAATAGGTCCCATATATTAAGAAGTTACCAAGACATTGAGGATAATTACATCCTGTATATCTAAAGTACCTAGTGCTTTCAATCTGATGTGTCATTTGTTCCTTTACTAAATTAAGTTGTTGTTAAACAGCTGTTCTGTATTAACACAAAGATGGCCAAATATTCATGGCATGCTAAATGACCTTTATTTGGCCTTCCCTACCTTGCAGGAGTGTTGGTAAATCCTAAATTAACAACGTTTTTAAATAATAGCATCTGAACCTAAGATTATAAGAACTATAAAAAGGTTAAGCACAATAAAAATTTCAATCATGTGTTAGACATTTTTAAACTGTGCATGAGGCCTAGACATATATCTTTAATTAATTTTAATGTTTAAATGATTTCACTTTAATTAAAGTGAAAGATAGTTGGGATAATCAGCTCTGTTTTGAAAATCCCAACCTATATTTATTGAACGTTAATCTATGTGGCCGCATCACATATAATGAGGGAACCACTTAACTTGCAGTTTCACAGTTTTTGCAGAAAACGCAAAATCTGGGATTGTCCACAAAATCCGTGAAATCAACAGCAAAAAAAAACCTTATCAAACAAAAATGCTGGTTCTCCAGTGGGAGCCAGCGGTCCTCGCTGGGAAGGGAAGGCGTCGGCTGGTGGTGCTGCATGAATGGCAGGAGACAAGATGGCAACTGCCCCCTCATCCCTCCTCCCTGCACCAGAGCCTCTCCACCAATCAGCGCCAACAGGCAGGTCCATACAAAGGGCATCCAGCAGTCAAGCTGGAACCCAGCTTTCTTCCCACTAATCAGTGCCAAGGGGTAAGATGGCCACCAGATGACTACAGACAGAGATGACCCAAGCAGGGTGTGGGGCCTGGGGCAAATCAGCCTGTGCAGGGCCCCTCCCCCTGCGCCCTGGATGCAAAGAAGCCAATGATGGGTTTGGTGACGAGGGAGGTGGGGTACCAAGCAGCAGGACACAAAGGCGGCAGCAACACTGAGTCGCTGTGGCCGCTCTGCTCAGCTCTGCAGGGCCCCCCAAAGCACGGGACCCAGGGTGGTTTCCCCAATTCACCACCCCTAAGGAGGGCCCTGACTGCGGAACTAGAACTTTATGCTTAATCGACCCATGAAAATTGGTAAGTCTCCTCACAATTTAGGTAGACCCCTACATATAATCTTTCTTGGTTCATACTAATTCTCCATTTTTTCCACAGTTATGGAATAAACATAGATGAAATAAAAGCTCACTTAACTAGGGAGAAATAGGTTCCTTTAAACATGTTCCTTCCAACTGAATTTTCATATTGCTTGTAAATTTATTGCTCATTTAAATTAAAATCTCTCATGAGTAAATTCCTGGCCTTTAGAAACTGTGAGACCTATAAACATATGTTCTACAGATCCATATCTAAAGCTAGGTGATGGACATTATCTAATTCTAAATCGTATTTCTTTAATATGTAGCACCATCTAGAGGCAAAATATTATACTGTCTGGAAATCAACACTAGATGATCAAGACAGCTGCTATTTCAGGCCCCTAGCAGACATTACACACAAGACATGATTCACTGTTTAATCATGTCTTAAACAGTAATCCCACCACATATTCAAGCGATTAATGATGCGATAAAACAAGGAATAAGCTACACAGTGATTAAACAAAATATTTCTAATATTTGTATAATAACGTTGTAGCTGGTTCCCATCATGTCTTAATTGCATATGTAGCTGCTCCCAGCCTTGGGATTGGAACCCTTCAAGACTGAGGTTGGAGTAACAGCCAGCTGGTCAGAGCTCCCAACTTCAGGGGCACACTAGAGCTATGGCTGGGAGTGCCAGTCATCTGATCAGCTCCCTTCAAGGCTCCTAAGGCTCCCTTCAAGGCTCGCGTGCTCTCTAAGGCTCCCAATCAGCTGGACCCCCATCTTGCTACTTGCTAGTAAAGGATATTACTTTTAAATACGTCCATATGCTTTCATCTTTGATAGGGTACAAAATTACTAAATGGTGCATTATTCAAATCTGCAAGTATTCAGAACAAACTGAAACAAAAGCACTTCTTCATCTGAAGGGGAAGGCAGGGGAGAAGGGGAATTTGTTCTGTGCGTATGTGTGTGCAGACAGCTATCTATCTATATGTTTTGCTCCGGACTATGAGAGCAGACTAATTACTTTCATGACTAGGCCGGGTAAAGGCTGTATTGTCAGTGTTCCCAGAGGCCTGTACAATTACAAGTAAACAAAAATGAATTCCACAAGTTTCTAATAAAACAATATGAACATTATTCATTTAAAAGTTTCTGTAAGAAAATAAAAATGGCAAAAGGAAGACATTGTGGTGGACAATGGCCCTTTAAAGATTTCCTATGGCTTATCCACACTACAATCCAGTAGCATTGACTACAGGTGGCATACACATACCCAAGCAAGTTTTAAACTAAACGTAGTTTGGATACTAATAACATGATGGTTATGGCTGCCCTGGCTTTGGGCAAGGACCTTAGGGCAAGGCTGCTGCAGCTCCATTACTATCGGTATTCTATGAAAATGACAAGAAGGATGGATAGATATGGGTAGATATACCTGATGTCTATCACAGTGGATACTGTTTCTAATAAATTTCTGCAATCAATCCCTGAATCTCTCTAACTATAGTTTGTCCAGCTCACTTCAACACAGTATTAAAAGGTTAAATACTTGGACAGAAGCTAACTGCCCTACACAAATCATTCACCTCCCAACCTTTCAACCCAGATTTTTACTCAGCACTTTGAACCCAGCAATATAGGTTTCTAGTTATCTCTCTTCTTCACAAGCAAGATATACATGAAAACTTGGGAATCCTGCATTAAACTGGAAAAATACTTTTTTTGTGAACTCAAGTTCTGAATGGCAAATGGAGCTCTGGGTGCTCAGTCCTTCTGAAAAAAAAAATTCAGCCCCAAATGTAATCCAGTATACATAAAAATACAAAATGGAACATTTTAACATTTTAAAAACATAGTCTTCCTCCCAGGACCCTACTAACCAATTATCTTGGATCTTCAAACTCTCAAATCATTGAAAAATGGACTGTTCTGATTCCCAACCTTTTAACTAGATGACTTTAAAAAGTAAAGTTTAGCAGGATGCTCAGCAGGAGATTACATCAGGGAGAAGGAAATTCCTTTGTGTTTAAGCTATATAATGTATAGACTATACCATTTTCAAATGTTTCAGCATGTTAAGAAAGCATTAGGATAATTCCTGTCATAGGGTCAAGACTTTAAGAAAGTGTGAAACCAAGAGAAACAAAAGCTGAACTAAAGGAAAGGTTTTTTCACTTCATCTAAAAAAAATTTGAACATTTATTTACCATTACTTACTGTAAAAGCATACTCCCAATGCCCAAATATCTTTAAAAATCTTTAGAAACTTACAATTTTGGATTTAGGGTATCACACTTCATGCAAATAACTTGGAAATATTTGTAGTTATCAATATAATAGATTTTACCTTTTAGAATGGAAAATATTCAGTAGCTCAGAGGCAATGGTAAAATAGTTGTATATCTTAACTTGGTACAAATCCCAAGATTGAGTGGAGGAAAATCTATACGATTTGAGGCACAGAATTGCACAGATATGAATCCTCAAGCAGAATTCAACATAACATTAGTAATGACCCCTGACTATGCAGTATTGTTTCTTGGGGTCACTGACATTAACATATTTAAGGATTAGTCAGCCACCATTCTTTTCTCAAATTTCCACATGCACTTTGCTCTAGAAGCAACTAGCACACTAGACCGTTGCAGAACCTAACAAATTCCATGGCAGGTTGTAGGGTCTTTCTAAACACGAAAATCATATCCACATAGCACAATTATTTAAATCGAGTTTACATCATCCTTTAAATCAAGAATCAATTTTAATATGTCATCACAAGTTATTTGAGGATGGAGTGGGGGTGTTATGGTCTTAGGAAAGATTCCAAATATACAACTCTTTTTCTCTCTTTGGGCGCGCCTATACAAGACAGCTAATTACTGTGCAGTAAGCGTTACCATCTACATATGCAGACGCTTATTGAGCAGTTATTCGCTCTAATCATAAGTAAATTTCCTGCCTGTAAATACAAGCAGCAAATTTACTCTTGATTACTTACTGCACTGTACAGCATGTGTAGATGGCTGTAGACAGCACATTTGCTCCTGGTCAGCTGGGCAGCAATGAGTGGGAGACTGCTCCCTGTCCCCGGGAGCTGCCTACTGCTGAGGCAAGCTCCACCAGTGGAGGCCAGGTGAGGAGCTCTCAGTCCCTGCTTCCCAATCACAATTGGGGAGTAGCAGCTGGGAGATTCTTAGCTCCAAGCCCTGGCCCTACAGTTGTGGAGCTTGGGCTAGGAGATAAGAACCTCCAAGCCTGGGCCCCGTGATTGTGGAGCAGGGTCTGGGATCTCCCTGCTGCTGGGATTGCGAAGCCCACCCCAGCAGCAGGCAGCTCCCAGGGGCAGGGAAGAATATCTCAGCCCCTGCCATGAGACAGCATTCTCCTGGCCCCGTGCTCCTTGCCAGCCCCTGGGATAGCACCAAGGGAGAGCATAGAGCTCTCCCTGGCTGCTGCAGGGGCGAGGGCTACAGGGAGCAGGAGCAGTCTGCTGCTAGGAACAGTAAATCTACTTCTGCATCCCAGTACATGTAGATGCATGCCCAGGACAGTTTTCTCTAGAGTACAGGCAGTCCTCAACTTACGACTGTTCGAGTTATGACAAATGTCACTTACAACCTTTGTAAACTATGACAGTGTTTCGAGGTTCTGACTGCGTTTCAACTTTATGACACCAGACACAGCTGCCTCCAGCTGGTAAACCTGTTGTAATGAGGCATGGGGGTGCAAATCAAAGCCCCTCCAGCAAGGGAGGGATGGGAGCTGTGGCTGGGATAGGGGCTTCCCAGTGGGTGGGATGGCTCCTGCTGCTGCATGCTGCCGGTCTGGAAGCCGCTTTAATTAAAGTGCCTCCTCCCTGCCCCAGAGCACATGTAAAGACATCCATAGGTATTTTGACAGAACCCACAGAGGGAACTTTCATAATTTTTAAGACTTTTTCCATTTGTTTTTCTAAATAACTGAATTACACTATCTGAGATGCCGAGGCAATGTACTAATAACCATTAAGTTTAGAGACTGACAGAGTTAACATGTCCCCAGGATATAAGGTCCTGCATTTAAATTTCAGAACACAGTAACATGTTTTGCATCTACTATGTACTCTTACTAGGTACATTTAGAAAGTCAGTTTTGGAAACATTAACCATTGGTAAAATCTAAATGAAAAAGTAAAATTACCAGTCGTTCCATCTCCTGTTCTCTAAGCCTCTCTTCCCTCTGTCTCCTGTGATAGTCCATTAGGTCTTCTCTTCCAGTCACTGAACTAATACTGTTCTTTCTCTCTCGTATGCAAGGGGGCAAAGAAGTTGGTGTTTGTCGGAAGCTTTCCAAATCCGTTTCATCAAACTCCATGGAACTAGTGGAAAGGTTTCTTCTGACAGAGAATGATCTGTCAATATCCACAGGGGAGAATGAGTTACTGGGGCTTGTCCCTGAGAGTCCAAGTCTATCAAAATCATCAGAAACATATGAAGAAGAAGATGCTAAAAGCATTTTCTTAGCTAGCCTAGGGCTTGAAGGAACACAAAGAGCTGAGCTAACATAGGAATTATTATCAGACGCTGAATTTATAAATGGTGAAACCCCTGAGCTGCAAGAAGAAAAATTAAGGTAATTATCAGCATCTAGTGCACTTTGAGGTAGATCTTTTTCTCCATGCTTTTTCCTCTTGGAGTTACCAAGAGAGTTTCTCAGTGGCAAACTTAATGGCATCAGCTGGCTTTCTGTCGATTTGTACAGTCTGGGCAGAGAACGACTATAAACTCCCATATGACTAAGAGACCCACCAGAATATTTCCTAGCTCTTGAACCCAAAGCTTCAGTCATCACCTCCTTGTGTTTCACTGGTCTTGGATGAAGATTTAGGCTGTCTTGAATATTCATCCTCCTGCCCTGCTTTGGGCTCGAGGGCACACTTGCTGCTCCTGAAGTGCTAACAGGTGAAAACATCATTTCACTCCCTGAGCTTCCATTCCACATTGTAAGAAGAGAGCCTGAGATTTTCTTCCCTTCCAGTGTTCCTGGGAAGTAGACGTTGTCATACGATTTATTTTTTTGACTATACTTGGAATACTGAAATTTGTCCACATGTCCAAAGGATTTCTCATTTTCTCTGTTGACATGAATGTCAAAGTCGCTCCTTCCTAGATTGTACCCACTGAGGGATGGAGAAGTACTTGAAATGGAACTCATGGGCTTTACAGAGACACTTTTTTCTGAAAAGTAAGGGCTGTCACAAGAGAACAGCTTACCTCCTGGAATTCTGGTAGCAGAATGCATATTTTTTACACTGGATGAAGGACTGGATTTAGTTGACACAGGTTGTGACAGGGTTAAATAGGAACCAACATAATCCCCATTTGTTTTAAATTTAAGACTTGATGAATATTTCTTTGGGCTGAGGTTATCCATAATATCTTGGAGATCGTTTTCAAGGGAATTTGCCACAGAACCTTTCCCTAAACTAGCATTTTGTAATTCCATCTGGTTTTGTATGTGGCTATATTCTGCCATGATCTTATTGGAATCTGTAAGAAGGAAGAAAAAAATAGTTTTCAGCAAATAAGTGATTAACACAATTCTGCAATCAATGTCGGAATGATTAGTAACAATAATTGCACAAGTTATCCATACTTTACAAAGGTGTTGGAGTCCTCTAACTCTGTTTTACAGGCTGGGAAACTGAAAGTGAGACATTTGGCATGGTTGCATATAACTGGTAAAGACCCTGGGTGCCCTGTGTGATGCCCTATCCACTTTAGAACACTCTCTCTCTCTCTTTTTGTTTCCCTAAAAAAAGGCTTATAAAAAGTATATAGCACAGAAGCAGGAACCAATAACTCCTGAGGGGTTGGAAGGTCCCAACCCTTCCATCTCTGTAACATTTATGCACATGGCTCCCAGCACTGTAGTGTCTATGCATCTCCCAATTGTTAATATACTACTGATCTTCACAACTCCCCAGTGGAAGCACAAAACTGCCATTATCCCCATTTTACAGAAGAGAAATTGAGGCATGGAGAAAATGATTAGTGATTTGATTAAGGTCATGCAAATTCTACAAAAGAGCAAAGAATCAAACAGGTTTCTCAAGTCCTGGACAGCTGCCCAATGCTGGACCATCCTTTCAATCTAATTATTGTAAGCCATGCACTATGGGCCCGATCCAAAGTTTGTTGTGTTTCCGTGTACTTCAGTTATTTTTGGGTATGAATATAAACAAATCTTCCTCAACCTTAGTTTCCTCCACTGCTAAGTAAAAATATCACCTGTTTCTCAATGGCATCAACTGTTTCAGTTTAGGTCCCTAATAACTGCAGAGTACTCAAAATATAAAAAGCTCTATATATGCCATAAATTATATTACATAAAATACAGTCTTAAAGACATACAGAAACATGAAGTGAGATACTTTGTCTTCATTAAGGGAGAATTAAATATTTGTGATAAACACAGCTGCTTAAAACTACAGACACCAAAACAGATCGTGACACATCCTTATTTTGTTGTTGTTTTTGTTGTTCAATTACATACCAAATTCTATCCCACCAGTTCCAAGTTTCTCTTGCTAGCAATGACATCTTTAATATCTAAAGCATAGAGGAATGCAAACTCCTACTCTCCTTCTGTCAGTGACAGCATCAATCGTTGCAGGAGAACTGCAGAACCATAAGGGGACTTGATTTTAGGCTTTGGCTGATATAAAAATATGTCTCAGTTACCCTTTAAAGCAGCACTTTGAAGAGTTAGGAGACTTAAGGCAAGCTGCATTTGAACTAAATGAAGCAACTGTTTTTTCAGTACTGAGGACCTATGGGTGTTTTTATATGTGCTCCGGAGGTAGGGGGTGTGCTTTAATTAGAGCAGCTCCAAGAACCACTCTAATTAAAGCGCCCACAGGGTCTCATGTATCAGCATCTCCACACTTCAAAACAGTGATGCGGGTACTTTAACTAAAGTTCGTTCAACAAGTTTTAGTTAAAGCACCCTGCCACCATTTTGAAGCGTGGGGACACTAATACACAAAACACAGAAGCTGGATGGAGCACATTAATTAGCACGCTCCAGCAGACTCGATTAATCAAGTCTGCTCTGACGCGCTATAATTACAGCATGTTTGGAGCAGCCTCCCAGCATGTCTACAGGCACCCTATAGTCCTGCATGAAGTCAATGGAAGTTGTAGAAAGCTGACAATAAGTCCCTACTTTGCTTCTACACTTGGTTCAGTCATAAACTTCATCTGTGACCTTCATCAAATAATATAAAAATATGCCTCAGTTTCTCTTTCCATAGTACAACCCAAATACTCCTTAGTATCTGAAGTATTTTGAGTTCTTCAAATTAAATGTATTAGATCAATCTTCTCGGAAAGATCAATCCTCCCAAAAGGTACAGCAAGATACAGAAAGTTTTAGAATGCTCCCATAATCTTGAACAACAACAACAAAAGTAAAGGGAAAGGACAGTGCCATGGATAATGTGACTGAACAGGTAATGAATTAAATTAATATGCACTCTAAAAAGAAAATACACATGAATGTGAAGGGTTACCTCATTTCTCTTCATCACATGTACACAATGAAATGTTTCAACAGTTACTAACTATACTATCATCAAATGTCTGAAGGGACTACCTGTAGCTCAAGACACAATCCCAACAGTCCATCTCAACACGTGCCTTCATGCATTAAGGTTGTTTAGCAATTTATTTTACAGGGTCAACTAGTATTAAAACATTAGTGTCTCTGGGTGTGTCTACACATGTTTTTATGCATGCCTAAACTTAATGCACGTTAGCCTAATGCACATTAAGGCAATTTAAGCGGGCATCTATTCGTGCACATGCTCTGGCGCATTAATGCAGGTGTGCAGACTGTTTTTATGCAAGTATCAAATTTAGGCTTGAATAGCCTAAAATTGCCATTTTTAAGGTGCATGAAGGGTGCACATGTTAATGCTCACCTTAATTTGGGCTAATGTACATTAAATGCACACGTGTAGACATGCCTTTTGATGACTAATTATTTGGATTGAACCAAAGAGCTGAAAGGCTTCACATTTTAATATCACTACTTTGAGCCAGACTGTTAAGGTATGTGAAATTTTATTTTAAAATTTAAATACTACTTGTGCATGTTTTGATAAAGAACAAGCAAACAAAGCTAAAAGTATTCTTTAACACAACATACACAAGTAAAACAAAATAAAATTATTTTTTTAAGGCTGGTTTTAAGTAGGGTATAAAAATTCAAAATAGGAATACTAAAATGTGAAACTTATTTGTGATTAACAAATTGCTCTACAGATTTATCCCTCTAGTCTTAACAATGCTTTGCATCTAAGTCTTACTACCCTAAAGTTCTCTGAAATGTTCTGTTAATCTCACAATAAACATTTACTATTCAAAAGAGTATCATGACACAACTGACAAAAGTAGCTTTTGAGCATTTTTAATGTTTCCAATCACTCTCAAATTGAACAATATAGAGGTAGATTCATGGAATTTTAAACAGATTTATTACTTTTTTTCAACACAAGGATCATATTTAATCTTGTGAAGAATAAAACTGTTTGCCAGAAAAACAAGTTAGCTCATGGAAATCTTTCCTGTAAGACAAAGAGTTCGTTGTACTTGAAATCTGAATGACAAAAGCAAACAAAAATCAGCAATACCTCCATGTAGTCAATTGAATTGAACTATTCCTTATTTTTGACCTTATGCCATTTCCTCTGCATTTTGGTCCCAATTCTTCAAACCCTTAGGCACATGCTTAAGTGCTGAAAAGCATCAGTGTGTATCCAGTATACAACTAACGATTTTAATGTCTGTCCATAAATCAAGCCTCCTTTGATTGTTTTTTAAAGTGTTGTGTCAGATAACACACCAGGACTTTTTAGATATTCTTGTTGACAACACATTGTGCAAGGCTGCTCTTTTGAGCCAAGTGTTTTCTGGTTGAAGTTATTCTAAGGCAATTTCTTTCCTTTTCTTACTTGTCTCCCTGACTAGGTGGTTAACCGATGCCTATTGTAGGCAGCCAATACTAAGCTCTATTTTTTTTTATTTGTTTGCGATGTATGCCAAAGCTATAGCAATGGCTTACTGTTTGTAGGTAAAACAAGTAGAGAGATAAGAAGAGCAGGAAAGTGACCACTTCTAATTGAAGATTAAATTACAGGATCGAAATCAAAGATGTCTTTAGAAATGTGCCAATTCCATTACAAAACAATTGATTTGTTCCATTTGTTACCTGTTTGAATACTCTGGAAAGAGGAAAAGTTACCTCGGTTTGGCATCATATTTTTCTTCTATCCAATAGTTAAAACAAAGCTAGCTTGAATGAGCCAGGTGAATACTGACCTGCAAAGAAGTAATAGAAGGGACAATATTACCTTAACAAATACATGCTGAAAATTGATTTACAGGTACTTTAAAAAACACAATGAAATTAAGGTTCTGTGATGCTGAGAGTCTTCTGGCTGAGGGGAACATCACAGACATCTGGACCCTTCACAAGTTGGTCAGAATTAGGGATGTCAAAATTAGGCTTGATGGTAGAGATTTATTTTATCAGTATGAATGTCTGTGCAACTTTTTATTCGTTTCTTTTACTCCTCAAATGAAAAAAAGTCATTAGCTCATCCTCTTTTCCCGTAAGAGAGGGAGTGCCTGTGGTTATTCATCAGAATTATGATTTCTTTGTAGAGCCTTGTCTAAGGGTTTCCTTAAAAATCATTAAATTCTGAAAACTTATCTCAGTGAGCCTCTTTCTGAGACATGGCAGGAAATTAGTTGAAAAGTGCTATAAAAACAATGCACTAGAACAAAATCTAATATCAACAGCCTCACAATCAAAACCCTATATCTAAAACAGGTGCATGCATAAACTAACACTTTGTAAATATTTTGGCAGACACAAATTCCCCTGGTGAAAAATTACACCATTAGAGGGGGAAAGAAAGATGTTTTCATGTTTACAGAAACATGTCTACAGATGGTTACAAACTTTTTAAAATAAAAATAATTTCAAATGTGATATCTGTGCCATTACTTGGAGATCCAAAAATTTAGGGACACCAAAACCATTCTTGTAAGTATCAAGTATGTTTTTCTGTAAAAAGTAAAGAATAGTAAAATGCATTTTTAAAAACTAATTTGAATGTATTTAAAAAAAATGGCTGTAATAAAAAAAACTCAACTTTGCATCAAGTTATGTTCATCATGTATGAGTTCACTGTACTTCAAGGACAGTAATAACTAAAGGAAAACAGCAAAGAACAGAAGTAGAGACATAATGTTTGTTAAAAGTCAAGGCACCTATTTAACTAATAAGTCAGAACTTCAAACTACACATCTTAGTCTCTTTGCAAGAATTTTCTTGTGAGGCCTTTGTACATTATTCTCTTGACAGAGGTCTAGAAGGTCAAGCCTGGCAACGTACGGAGTAGTTTCAACAAAGAACTTTTCTCAGAACAGCTTCTATCTCCTCCTATCATATTGGTTTATACAGGCAACCCCCGCTTAGCACTCTTAATTGGTTCCTGAAAAACGGAGCATTAATTAAAATGAGCGTTAAACAAAACCAAAAGTATTTGATGACCCAAGGTGGTGACCACAAATGTTTTTAATGACTTAAGCTGGCGACTGCGAGTGTTATAGCAAAACTTGCAGAGCGCAAAGTGAAATCAGGTATCAATTTAAAATGAGCGTTACATCGAAATAGCACTTTAATAGCTTTAAGCGGGGGTTGCCTGTACAGTTGGAACATGTTCTCTGTCCTTGTTCAACAAGCCCCTTCCGTATGCTTTGTCATATCCTCTTTACTTAGAGCTCACTTCCATGAGTAATTTCTAGGCATTTTCTGTGAAAAATGATGCTTTTTATGGTCATTTTAATTATTTTTTTATGATGCTTTTTCTCAACAACTTCTGCCTGAGGACAGTTTTCACTCTATCAGTGTGGTAAGGAGGGACTTGTCCTTCTGCCACCCTCTCCCTTGCAAGGACATAAAAGTTCTAATATTTTACAAAAAATATTAGATAGGTCACTCCAGAAATTATCTAACAGGAAGACACAGCCATGTACCTCCTTAAAGGGACTCCTCTGAGCATTCCAGCCTGGGAAAGAGGCAGGAAACAGCTCCTGACCCTCAGTTTTAAGTTCAGCCTATTAGCGCTTCATGTCAATGTGCCAGTAACTCCAAGTTTACTGCTACTTTCTCCCTTCTATGGATTCTCCTTAGCTCTCTGAAGAACTAAGATTTATCTTTGTTCCCTCTATTTTCCAGTTCTTCCAGCTTTTACTCACAGCCACTCCAGTTAAGTTCCCCTACTCAAAACGCCGCTTTCCTCAGCTCCTCTTCCAGCAGAGTAAGCTGACAGACTGACTTCTGCACTTCATGTGTGATTTTCTTAGTCAGCCAATGAGAGCATTCAACCATAAAGATGGTTTCAGTCCCTCTAGGGGCTCAAAATACTTCATGTACAATCCCTGTGAACTGACTGAGAGCAAAGCAAAATACCAAGATTTCAGCCCTTTGTTATCATGCATGACACTGGGCATGTCTACACATGCTTTTATGCATGCCTAAACTTAATGCACATTAGCCTAATGACCATTAAGGTGATTTAGACACGCATCCACATGTGCTTGCACTAAGATGCATTAACACAGGCGTGCAGACTAACTTGGGACTAAAGTAGGTCCCAAGTCAATGAACATAGACCACATTAATGTGCATTAGTGTGTCTACATGTTCACTAATTCAACTATTTGTGCATAAATTTCATACCTGCTTCATGCAGGTATCAAGTTTAGGCTCGAATAGCCTAAAATCACCATTTTTAAGGCACATTAAGGGCGCGCATGTGTAGTCTAAGTCAGATACTACATCCATCCAGGTTTACCTTAAACCAGTTTCAGCCATTTTGAAACCAATCTATGTGCACTGAACTTCTGTTCTGTTACAGGTTTAAACTGGTTTCTGATCACTTATACAGTTTTATGTATGTTCGCCAATGACACCAAACTTTGGGGCAAAGCATCCACGCCAGAAGACAGGTGGGTGATCCAGGCTGACCTGGACAGGCTCAGCAAATGGGCGAATGAGAACATGATGGTGTTTAACACCAAAAAACGCAAGGTTCTGCACCTTGGAAAGAAAAACCTGCAGCATCCTTATAGGCTCGGCAGTGCTACGCTGGCTAGCATTATGGAAGAAAGAGACTTGGGGGTCATCATTGACCACAAGATGAACATGAGCCTGCAATGCGATGCTGCGGCTAGTAAAGCAACCAAAATGCTGGCTTGCATCCATAGATGCTTCTCAAGCAAATCCCGGGACATCATTCTCCCCTTGTACTCGGCCTTGGTGAGGCTGCAGCTGGAGTATTGTGTCCAGTTTTGGGCTCCACAATTCAAAAAGGATGTGGAGAAGACTGACAGAGTCCAGAGAAGAGCCACGTGCATGATCAGAGGTCAGGAAAACAGACCTTACGATGACAAGCTGAGAGCCATGGGCTCTTTAGCCTGGAAAAGCGCAGGCTCAGGGGTGATCTGATAGCCACCTGTAAGTTTATCAGGGGTGACCACCAGTTTCTGGGGGAACATCTGTTCACCAGAGCGCCCGAAGGGATGACGAGGTCAAACGGTCATAAACTACTGCAAGACCATTTCAGGCTGGACATAAGGAAGAATTTCTTTAGTGTCTGAGTCCCCAAGGTCTAGAACAGCCTGCCATTGGAGGTAGTTCAAGCACCTACACTGAACACCTTCAGGAGCAACCTGGATGCTTATCTTGCTGGGATCCTATGACCCCAACTGACTTCCTTCCCTTTGGGTGGGGGGCTGGACACTATGATCTTCTGAGGTCCCTTCCAGCCCTAATGTCTGTGAAATCTATTGTCCTTGATACTTGTAGCTAGTTGGAGTTCTGTTGCAGCCTTGGCTTTCCTGGTTCACTCCCTGCAGGACCAGACCAGTGCAGAATAGTCCCCCATCCTTTATACGTCTTTCTTTTTAGCTGCAGGAGGTCTGCTAGTTCCCTGGAGAGCCGAGGGAGCTGCTGTGCTCTTTTGCTGCCTTTCCTCCAAGCGGAATAGCATTAGTTTGTGCACTGAGGATCAGTCCCTTGAGGAGCAACCACTCTTCCTGAGCTCCCCTCTGCTTGGGGTCGTGGTCCCTTAGGGCCTCACCGACAAGCCTCCTGAGCTTGTCAAAGTCAGCTTTCCTGAAGACAATGACTTCTGTATTGCTGACTGACTTGCTAGCTTTACAGCAGATGGTGAAAGTGATCAGCTCGGGGTCACTGTCACCCAGCTTCCCTTCCATCATTAGGTCACTCATTAGGTTGTTCCCAGTTGACAGTACCAGGTCAAGCAGCACTTTACCTCTCGCTGGCCCGCAGACCTCTTGTGTCAGATAGAGGAAGCTTTGCAACCACTCGAATTGAGCCGAGAGCTCTTCCCACAAGATGTCTGGGTAGTTGAAGTCTCCCATGACAACCATGGACCTGGAGCATGCGGCGTCAGCCAATTTCCTAGCGAACTCCTGGTCAAGCTCTTGACTTTGGGTGGGAGGTCTATAATAGACTCCCACCATTGTGTCCCCTGTGCCGTGTTCCCATGGATTTTAACCCACAGGGTCTCCAGTCATCCACCCTGGTCACCAATGTCAGCTTGCAGGGATGCATAGTTCTCCTTGACATAGAGAGTTACACCCCTGCCCCTTTTGTCTACTTGATCTCTCCTCTACAGGGTATAGCCATTTATACCCATTGTCCAGTCATGGGTGGAGTCCCACCAGGTCTCTGTTATCCCTATGACATGGTAATTTTTTGCACTAAGCAGGAGGACAAGTTCCTCCTGTTTAATCCCCAAGCTCCTGGCATTTGTGTACAAGC